CTATGTCAGCGGTATGTCATTTATTTGTGTTGGTACTTCATGTGTTGGAATAGTGACAAAATGGCGGGAGCTGGGAGACTTCATCTTTTGGATGTATCTCCACAGCTTATACTTCAAGACAGGACGAAAAGGTTTTACGACGGCTACATCACAGTATGCGTAAGTAGGAGGGAAAAATGTTTGGCTGTCTAATGTTTATTGGTTTTTTATAATTGCTTTACTTTATAGTTTTATCTACCATTTTGCAGAAGAAGAGTTTCCGAATTTCCATCGAAATTCCTGAGAACAATTCATTGAAAGATGCCAGGTGGGTTTACTTACCCAGCGAATTTGCCGCGTTTGAAGTTTTTAGCATCGGTTGATGTTTTTGCAGGTAGAAAATGGAATGTTCCATAGCAAGGTAGTCAGAAGCGCACTAAGTTAGGGGGCGGGGTCACTTTTTAGAAAGGGGGTACTTATTGGAAGGGAGGCACTAAATTTACACACGCTGTGTATGTATCTCTAGGATTGAATGTGGATGGAAACTGCGGCATTTACTAAGAGGTTGTGAAAGTGTCATAAAACAGGTAATATAGCCGTGGATTATGAAAATGATCAGTTTTATAGTTATGCAGTGATTGGATTAAAGTGATGAAGCTTGACTTGATATCTCTTGTGCAATTTAAAACTTCCTTACTTTTCACAATACCTTATTTCCTTCCTTGTTTACTTAAAAATCTGCCTTTGAATAAGGGCTGCATATAACAGCAAAAATGTAATTACTGCACCTTTCAGTAACATGTGGATTCTAAAATTCAAAACTCAACCGACAAATGCGTTTTTCGCTATTGTAATAAAATGTTTGGCGGCTCCTCCCAGCTTCTGACTACTGCCGAGCACTGTTTCATTGTCTGAACTGTGCTCAACGATTTGTGACACTGGATTTTAAGTTAACAATTTTTTTCTTTCTGTAGAGGCTAACACAGAGTGTTGATCTACCATCTTTCTTGCTGGAACTCAAGAGCATTCTGGTGTGTACAATGTATTTGTTGACTCTTGTGAAAATTTATACCGGTATGTTAAAAAGGTTATTGATTAGTTTTTGAATGTTGTTTCCTGAAAGCCCCAATAGTGTATTAGAACATTTCCTGTAGAACGTTCTTGTGAGATCCTGATTCTCTCTAAGGCAGTTCGATCCCTGGGCGGTAACTTCCCATATAAAATAAACTAGTGGTAATCGTAGATTAAAGAGTGCATTTGAGTTTCAGTAGGCTTGGTAGGTTAAAAAAACAAAAATTCTAGGGAAAGCATTTTGTGCCTGAGCTGTTAGGTAGGCGTGAAATTGGTCTCCCTTCAGCAGGGGCAAAAAGGACAGAGGTGCTCATTGGAAATTTTGAAAAGAACCCCTAAGAGGTACCAAGATGCTGTTTTGTTGGTGTGGCTTGAAGTTTTTTTCACCGGTTCGATCTTTTTGAAAAGACAGAAATCAACATTTCCATTTTAAGTTTTGATCTCCTTTATCTAATGTGAATACTTTACCTCTTCTTACTACCATCCTTAACATTGCTACCTGATTCCTCATCATTAGTGAAGAAATTCAGTAAATATTACTCTTATTTTCACTTATGAGACAAAATTTTATCTCACCCATGCTATGCAGAGTGCATTTCCACAACTAACAAAGTATTGATAAAAGTGTACGGTTTTTGTAATTCTAATATGACTGGAGACAAAAAGTTTTGTTAATAAATCGGGGCATTGAGAGTTCCCAATCCCAGACATTTTTCTGGAGATATGGTAATATGTAGGCAGGTCTTAGGATGAATCAAATAATCTTAAAGTTATCTTTTTGATGTATTTGAGATTTCAGAGTACAATATTTTTGTCTTAGTTTCATAAGTCTATTAAACATACTTATTATTTTAATAGGAAAAGCTTCTGGAATGCCAAAAATCAGAAAAAGTTGTTTCACAACCACATGTGTACACACATTTGGTGACAGAGTTGGAAACTATTGGATGGGAGAAGTGAGTTACATTATATTCAGCCATTAATATATAAAATGTACAGTGTACTTGTTTTTCAAGTTTTTAAGTCCAGACTGGTAGAAATGCTTTGCAAAAAAATGATCTGTTACAAAAAGGGTAATGTGGTAAGGTTTCTTTTTGATCATAGATATTTCAGTCTTTGCATTACTAACAGAAAGGCCTGTTATTAAGAGACAAGGAGTGGATGAAACGACTGTTTTAGTTATAATATCCCTCATGCTTTCTTCCTATCTTTTTAATGTTTTTCATTGTTCAGCAAGGCCTGACGTAATTCAGAGCCAGTGATGCTTTGAGGAAAATATAAATAATTTGAAATGTATCGTGCTAGCAATAATCAATTGTTTCATGAAAATTCAAGGCTGCATTTGGTTTGGCTGCAGGGTTGATGTGATTATATAAGTTTAAACTGTTTGGAAGACTATTCTAAGGAACATTTTATGTTTTTTTCTTGTTAGATTGGCATATGTGGATCCATCATTTCAAGTGTTAAAATTTGCAGCTAGGTAAATAAAAATATTACTTTGAACCCAAGTACATGTAGTTATCAGTACAGTCACTAATTAAAAAAAAAGCCTCACCAAATCCATCATGTTTGCAAATTGGTAACAGTTAATTTTAGGAATTCAGCCAGTACTAACACTGGATATCATGCAAATAAACTGCCACATGTACAGTAGATAGTCTTTTAAAAATAAAAAAACCTACCTAAAATTATTCAATTGTGAACATTTTACTGGAAGGCACCCTGCCCTGCTAAGACACTTTAAGCTATTATAAGTAATCTCTCGTCATCTTTTTTAGAGACATTAAAGACAGAGAACATGTTATAACTATCCATCTATCACCTCAGGTAAGAATTAGATATCAATGACATTAGAGACTCAGTAGTGTATAGAGGATATTATTTGGTGGTGCAAAGATATGAATTTTATTTGCAAGTGCTAAAAACAATATTTTACAAAATAATGAGTGCAGCAAGTGACTAAAATATTGTTTTGAACAGGAGAAAGTATTTAATTCATACCTTTAAGCGACTGTGTAATATTCTTTTTATTACATAGAAAAACTGACTGTTTGCAACTGCGAGAAAGTGGGAAATGATGCATAGATATCTTCACTAGTGAGGATATGGAAAATACATCACTTGGGTTGGCTGGATTCAGTTTTGTTAGAATTTTATAATAAAAAAACTGTTTGGAAAATTTAAAAGAAATCACTTTAAAATGAAAAGATATTTACAAATAAAAAATTGAAAAATTGAAAGTATAAAATGAAAAATTTTTGCATTGAACAGTTTAGACCCTGACAAAAAGAGTGGAGTCAAATCCAACAATCGCAGCCTCAGGTGTTGCCTTTTGAACTCACTGAAGAAAAAAAAGTTAACTGTTACTAGACTGCAAAGATAACTATTTGATGGCAGGGGAAATGCTCCCATTAGTTCAAGTTAGCATGTTAAGGCACAGTTTTAGACATTTAACTACAAAACTGCATAACAAAAGGAACTAAATATTAATGTTTGTAACTACAAATACAGACCAAACAAGCTACTGACAATAATCTGGCCATTTTTTTTTCATTAGCATCCTCTTGTGACACCCACTTGTACCACAGACCTACCAGGACAACGTTTTGCCTTCACTTGGTCATCCCAGGTAATTGAAATGTAGCATTTGCACCAACAAGTATGAAATTGATTCAGGACAGAAGCATATGAGCTTCTGTTCAGGATTAATAAGCCATGCCTTTTTGTTGGACTGTAGTTTTGGGTTCATAATTTAGGGGGATATGGAAGAGAACACAGCTACTAATTAAATCTAGATTTGCCAACCCTAATAGGACTTACTGGATTCCAATTCAGGCCCTATATTAGGGGGGCACTTCTATGTAAAAAGGACAGGGTTGCTCATTGTACCTTTTAGAGGTTAAAAAGTTAAGGCGGCTTTCATACCTCTAAGGGTACTCAGCCTCAAAAGGTCCACAATGAGAACTTTTGCAGTACCTTTTAGGGTGTTGAGCTGAAAAGAAAATTTGACAAGAGATTATCATAATGTGTTGCTTTAGAATTGGNAAATAAAAAAAAAAAGAAAAAAAAAAAGATGCTTCCCACAATATACTTTTATTATTCAGTATTCTTACCTAATAATTTACAAATCTAAGACGTCTTTCTTTCTGTTTTTCCAGAGTCATCCTCTTCAACAGTTATATCATCAGTTTCAACAGGTCAGTTTTTACAGGGATATTTTAAGTTCCAAACATAAAATACTGTCTAATTCTTCATACACATTTGCTTACATTTCTATTAATCATAATTGATAGTTAACAGAATTTTGTGGTATATAATTTATTTTTATTAAACTTGGATCTAATTAGAATGAGACTTCACAATAGCTGTTAGATTATAGTGTTCTACACCTATTGTTTTGTGTTATCAGGATGTGGTCAAAGAACCTGAGAGTATGCAAGAGTCAATATCATCAGCCTATTACGCGGGAGAACATTCTTTTTGACTTTTTGAACGTCTTCAAATAGGGTGGTGCTACAGAACTGATGGGATTGTACATAAGCTGGCAGTCAACTGTCATTGAGTTAGATTAAGGGTTTATTTCCCTTGTCAGATGTTTAAAAAGAGAAATTACTCTAGACATAATTTTCTCACTAATAATGTTTTTATCCTGGCTTTAATAAAATATATTTGAATTTATTTTTCTTCCATTAGGTTCTCTCTCAGTTTGAAGATTTCTGGGACATGCTTGATGAAATAGACAGTAACACTTGGGTCCTTGAACCTGAACATCCCTCCAGGTCCTGTACTAGCAGAAGGATTGCTCTTGGTAACAATGCCTTTATACACATAGATCTGAACCCAGCAAATCCCAGACTTTTACCAGAATGCAGATTCATGGGTGCCGACAATGGTATTGAACAACGTTTTCTCTTTTGCATGTTGCATAGTAATAGCATTGTTATTTTAGAAGTTGGAGTTATATATTTGCTATTTTTCTCCTTAATATTTTTGTATTTGGCAAATCATTCATAGTGTTTTTATTATGATCATTTTGCAGTGATTGTTCCTCTACGAGAGCATCTGAATGCAAACATTCATTCCTGGTAAGAATTTTAGCAACTCTCATCAACTCTAACAAGAACCAACTGAAAGCTAACTGATCAAGTTACCACCCACTTAGTCTCAATTTGTAATATAAGTGAAGTCTGCATACAGTATGAGCCAAGGGTCCCATCAGGCCAGAGCTTCACAGGGTTACCCCCCACCATTAAATTTGTCAGTACCCATTTATACACCTGGGTGGAGAGAGGTACTGTGAGAGTTAAATGTCTTGCCCAAGAATACTACACAATGTCCCCGGCCAGGGCTTGAACCTGGAGCATGCGATCCGGAATATAGCACACTAACCATGAGGCCATCGTGCTTCCCACTAATTTGTAATATATTTTGGGCTTAAATTTGTTTTTGGTTTCAAAGTTTAAAACCAGTTTGATTTGATACTTTTCCTGTTTTGCAAGATTTCAAAAAAAACAATAATTTTAAATTCAAGTTAAATTTTCACTATTATTGAACTATGATTGCTATGAGTATAATAACTGTCTTGCTGGTATGTCACACTGCTGATAACCTCAATAACAGATATTCTATTTAGGAATTCACAGTTATCAGTTTTGACAAATCTGGAGAGTTTACTGGGACAGAAATTTCCTTCTCCTTCCACAACAAAGAAAGAGGTACAATACAAAATTGTGAAAATTGCTACATTTATAAAGAGATAGAAAACATTTTACATGTTAATTTCTATCAAGTTATAGAAACACAAGTAGAAGTTTGGGAGAATGCGAAATGTTGTGTGAACATGTGATTGAGCTGGTGGGAGCTTTTTCAAGTTCTCCCAAACTTTCACGATTGTTACTATAACTTGACAGAAACACGAAGAAAATGTTTTCTATCTTTCTATTAGAAAACAATCCAAAGAAAAGAGTGGGCAATATGACTATGACAACTTTTTTGTGTTTCTGTTGAATTATAGTTCAAAACATGATTTTTAACAAATCAGCCCACATGTTTTCTTTGGGTTAGTCATTCTGTAAATATAGTATAGCATTGCATATTATATATTTTTTGGAAAATTTTGATTTGGTTCATAAGACTTTGGATAACCAATAGTGTCCAGTACTGTTTGATTAGAGAATAGAAGTTCTTTGTTTAATCAGGAAATCCACCAGAAATCCACCAGCCCAGCTAGGGCTGATCTAGCGGGGAGGACCAAACCCCCTAAATTAAAAAATGAGACATTACTTGGTCTCAGAATGCCAGTAATCCCATTTCTGATGACCTCAAAGATGTCCCTGGACCTTCTATGGCAGTCCCCTTCTCAAACCCACTTTTATCCGCCCCAGCCAAGTCTGTCAGACATGACTCTCTTGTGTTAAGAGAGCACAGTGTTGATGATTATACTTTTGTTTCATTGCAGGATTTCAGCATGGAGTGTGGTATTTGTTATGCCTATCGCCTTAATGACCTGATACCTGATAAAGCTTGTGATGATTCAAGATGTGGACAGCCTTTTCACAGCTTATGTCTTTATGAGGTTATCCTTCAAGCCATTTTACTGTAGTTGTTATAACTGATAACAGCACTTAGGAGCTGCATTATTGTCCTCACTGGCCTGAAGGGGGGGGGGGAGGGGTGGAGTTACTTTGTAAATCTTTGGGTAGGGGTGTGCTGTTGGGACAATGAACCCCTTACCCTATACTAGACCATCATGATCAGCTTGATTTTGCAATTCTATTCTAGACTTAAGACACCTAAAACCCCCACCATACCCCAGACTAGCTATTTTCCATACAGAAACTTTATCACTTAAAAATTGTTGTAGTCCAACAAATGCTAACTAAACCAATATCTTACAAAGTCACTTCCAAGTTTCATTTTCTATTATAGAACCCTGGGGAAAGAACCCTGTTCAGTCTACATTAAATTATCTACACACTGGCCACTTTTCTGTTAAATTATACCCCAATCTAGTCCAAAACCTTCCGATTTCTGTATCCTATCCCAGACTAAACTGCTTGAAAACCATACCCTTCACAGCGGCACATACTGATATAGCTTAGATATTGGAGTAGTCTACCCCCTGGGCTCACTGGTCTGTTTGACAATGCACTGATTTGGTATGTAGAAATTCATTTTTGATCATTCTACCCCATGTTTTCAAGTCTTTGTTTTAGAGTTAGTAGCTTCCCTTTTAATTTTATTACCATTGACAATGTTAATTGCCTCAGAACACTCAAATGTCTGACCATGCTGAGCCATATATAACTGTCTAACCAGAAGTAGATGGTAATTTGATTCATTTATCTTTGATTGGTAGTGGTTGAGAGCTTTGCCCTCAAGTCGACAGAGTTTCAACATGGTGTTTGGCGAGTGTCCTTACTGCAGCAAAGTGAGAAAACTGTTTATTGGTCTTGTGCTTGTGGCAGTTCATTAGGCCATTTCTGAGTTACCTTATGCCTTCCTGTCAAAATGAGTCCTTGTACAAAACCTTTCAAAATCATTCTATACATGAAACACATTTACATGCACAGATGAATTGTTTTGTACAAAGACTCGTTTTGACACAGAGGCACTAGGCAACTCACAAAAGACCTATTGTATATGTATGCAAGATGTATGATTTTATTCGATAAAATGTTGTAAATTTTGGTAAGGCTATATTTATATTTTTATAATTAAGTTAATAAAATGCAATTTATCCTTGGTGAGAAAACAGATTTTCATATGTTTAAAAATGCATGTCGTGTGACACAATGTCAGATCGGACAGGGCTGTAGCTAGTAACAGGTGAACTCCCTCAGTCTGTGTTTTTTTGGCATGATCTTAGTGTTGTGAATGAATGTAGTCTTCATGAACACTGGAATACCTACATGTAGGAAGGGAAGTTAACCATGGACGTCGCCTCAGTCCACTTTTTTCTGGCTACTGCCTTGTAGGTTTTTTTCCATTGTTATTATTTAACTGAGACTTTGAAAACAGATAAGAAACAAAATTAATTTTTGTTGTCTTTTGTTTTTTTGTTTTTACAAAATTAATTATTTGCGTTGTCTTGTTTAAATTTTTGTGGGTTGATAACTTTACTGCTAATAGTCTTCAATGCAAGCAATCAATGAGAAATCACTAAATTCATTCTCTTATTCTATTTCAGCCAATTACAGTTAAAATGGTTTCAGGAAAATGAGGCTTAGTACTGGCTGCACTAGCTGAAGTTGATTGTTTTATTTGAATGCATCAAAACAGAGTGAAACAGACTCTGTTTTTCATTGTTTTCCATTTATTTCAAAAGTAACATTAGGTAATTTGTGTAGTATGGTATTAATGAACATGTCGGGGCTTTAACAGCACTGTACACTGACAATATCCAAACTTCCACTGTGAAAGAGTTGTGACACAATTTCAAGCTGCCAGTCTGAAGAGGTCATATTAATTTGTAAACAGTTGGGGGAAATCTTGGATGTTGTGGTCTTAAATGTTTATAACCTGATTCTCAAAATTTCCAAGGGTCATCTTTTCATTGTCCCTACCTCACTTCCCTCCTCTGAGTAGAAGTGAGCAACCTTGCAGAATGCACTGTCTGAGAATCAGGCTTTGGGATTGGCGTACAGGCTAGGGGAACAGGGGGGTGCAGCTCCCTCCCCCCCCCCCCAAAGTGTGTTTGTATTACCATTTCAGCGACACTAATGCTTTCGGGCATTGTATAGTTTTTCTGGGCAAGGTCCAAAGGTGCCTGTACACCTATAGGCCATGGTCTGTATGGACAACAGCAAACAGATAACCCCAGTAAAATTCACTGTGTGAAAGGAGCTTGTTTTAATTATTACTTCTATCCATTCCTGTACAGACTTAATTACTTTATATGACACAATCATCAGTTTGTCAAAAGGATGATATTTCAATGAACTATTACAACTCTGTTTCAGTGATAAAAAAAAATAAATCTGTTTACAAATATCACTAATAAATATTGACATTACTGTTTGGTTTTTCTCTCTTTTAAAGTTGAAATAGTCACACCTCAGAACAAATGCCTTTTCTTAATGATTGTTGTTTTACTATAAAACTTCATCAAATTCCTCAACAAATGAATGTATTAAGAAGTATGAAAACAACGTAAATAAACCTCCAATTATTTTGCTTTATTGCATCATGACAAATTTTAAGTAATTTTCCTCCAATTTGCACAAAAGCCAATTTACTGGCATGTGCTAATATGTTTAAATCAAGAACTCAACAATGTTTCTGTAGCATAATTTAATTCAAAAATTTTCTCTGTACAGACATTATTTTACTGATTAGTCTACTACTTCAGGATCAGAAATTGAAAAATAATCAATAGTAAAATGGCTGAAAGCTAGCTGAAACTTAGTAATGAATTGAAAAAAAGTTAGAGGGATTTAAATAAAAATATAATCTAGCCTTTTTGCTTATTACAAAAATAGAGGTATGTATAAATTCAATATTTAAATAATACAAGGCATATTCACAACTGAAATGCTTTCTCCATGCCAAAATCTATCACATGAATTGTTTTTTCATGTTACACATATCTTGGACGAATTTGTCATACAAATATACTTACATTAATTTTTATGATAACCGTTAAATGTACAATGTCAATTTTGAAAGAATAATTTAACTGCACAGTATGCCTGCAGATTTTATGATTCATTTTCTACGCATGTTAGTGTCATGAATCAAAGAAATCATGCACGTCATTAACTTGTTCTTGCTCATGTGTTGTTGGTTCCTTGTTCTGTTGCTGAGATGCGGCTTGTTCTCTGTCACCAAGTCTCCCATCATTGTTCTCATCATTGCTTCCTATACTGGGGTTCATAGGGGTGTCAACATCCCATGACTCGTCTGTAACAAGGTTGATAACATTCATTTATTAAAATCAGTGATTACAGATAATTTACATATCTGAAGAATTTTTTTTAGGCTATTGGAAAACAAACATCTTCCAGCAGTATTTACTTTATGTACTTGTAGCAACAATACTTTCAACATATAATTTTTTTAAAAAAGTGAAGTCTTTTCAACGAGACTGGTCCAACAAGCCAGGACTTTACTCCAATTTCCATAGCACAAAGGGACAAGAAAAATTGCTTATTCTCTAAGTGGGATGCTACACCATCACAGGTTACCCACCCCCCCTCCCCCCCCTCAGCATTTTGTCATGTTGCACCAACTGTTTACAGTACATACCTTCATCTGCATTGTATGTCTCATCGCGATCCACAGCAAAGTCAACAACATCATCACCATCCTGGATCTGCTTAGCTTTGTTGCGCACCCTTTTTGCCTTTTCTTCTCTGCGCCTTTGTTTTGCAATGATTTCAGCCTGAGCTTTTTCTCTCTTCCTTTCTGATGCAGATAGCTTTCCCTCTAACTATAAGAATTCACCGATAAAATATACATTAGTAATGAGTATTCTGAAGTCTGCTCAAAATGAAGTTTTCCTTATGACCAGAGCTTCTGTCAGTTACTGAAGCAAGCAGGAAATGAAAAAAAAAAAAAAAAATAGGAAAAAAAGTGAATCGGAATGTTTCTACTTCCCCTGGATGGGATGACATCACTCAGACCCAGGCTCTCTATCACTTGCCTCCCTTGTCGTTGAGGAGAGACGAGACGGGAGACAAAGGAAATAGAGCCTGGGATCAAGGTTGATTCATACCCTGATATTGAAACAAACATAAGCATCTGTTACTTTTTTCTCACATTATTCAGGAGTCTTGATCTCCCTGATATCTTGGGGTTAAGTCTGGCCAATTTATACCATTGAAATCTCCTACATGTATGAAGGAGAGTGCTTGAAGACTACCCACCTTCAAATAAACTTCATGATCTCAGATTTGCGCTTTTTTAGGTTGGCATTTCTTCTAAGAATTATTTCTCAGTTACAATGTAGCACTTACTTCTGCCTTTTGCTGCTGTGCTTTGTCCATCTCTCTTGCAATAAGAAGCTCTGATCGCCTTTTAGACACTACTTTGACTTTCTTTTCCAGCTCCTGAGATGCAAGAGATTTAAATGTAAGATTTAAAATTTGTAAATCCTGCTTGTGTTTTTTTTACAAAAAGATTTTTTAGACTGGCAAGTTTTTTTAGAAAACTTTACAGCAATCTGCAAAGAGGAATTAATGAAAAAAAGAATAGTTTTAGCACTGAAAGGAATTTACCTTTTGTCTGTTTTCATCAGCTGCTGCTTGCTTTTGTTCTAAGGCTTCTCTCGTCAAAGTTGGCGCACTCTCAATTTTCTGTTGTAAAGGAGGATAATGATTTGATTGACATTATTGAAGACTGGCACTCAACAAGCTTTAAAGTACCATGCAATGTAGTTTTTGTTGTGCTCAAAAAATTTAAATATGTTTCTACATAGTTAATAGACTAAAATGTTAGGAAGCTAAGGCCAGTAAACATCAAAGATGCAAACAAATAGGCTGAGATTTATGTTGGAAGGTCCTTGACCCTGCATATCTTTTCTTTTATGCTCATAGACTATGCATAATTATATAATCACAGTGCTTCTATTGGTTAGTTGTATGAGCACACATAACCACCTTTTGTATTTTACCAGGTTTTTTGCAGGGTCAACCCCAAAATAGCTAACAAAAACATAAAACAAAGAACTTTGCCAGGTCTCCTAACCATTTCTCCTTATTAACTATGTTTCTTAAGATATGGTAACAAGACAAACTGCAGTGTTCATAAGTTCTAAATTAGCGCGGTTGCCAAGAGATAATGCAAAGAAAATTGTCCCAGGAATGGTGGGATGTGAGAAAATTATGACCATGTTCTCACTTGTTTTTTCATTTTTGTGGATGTTTGCTATTGAAAAAAAAATAAACATATAACAGGTCACAGCAACTGTGTGTGTGTCTTATGTGCACTAGCTTAGCTGTGCTTGCTGATTTAGAATTAAAGTAAGTCACCCTATTGTCGCCTGATTCTCAGACGGTCCAGGTCGCTCATGGAGAGAGTGCAGGGCCAAAGTGACCTGAGAATCAGGCTACCCGTTTTAAGCCCCCCACCCACCCTGGGCACTTATACGACCTCCAAGCTTAAAAGATATGCTGCTTCAATTTTTAGAAATAAACAAAAAGAACTGATGCAAAACAGGAACTACCTTAAGCCTGCGTGGTGGTTTGTTTGGCATCAATGGAGACGGTTTCTCAGAATCACTTCGTCCAAGAACAATATCAAAAGCCACTGATTTTGAAACTGGTGACTGTGGCTGAGAAGTTTGGTTTTCTCCTGTTGAAAGAATTAAAATTGGCATGTGATTAGCTATGCCCACCACATTTGAAGTAACAGTTGATAGGAAATTCAGGCATTCAAGACCAAAGTTAAACTTGTCATTTTCATCTTGAAGTTGCTAAGTAACTGATGACATGACAATTCAGTGCTCATACTTTTTTATTGGCTTATAAGTAAGTTTGAAACTTGATGTGTGTGCTACGCTGTAACATAGTTAATAGAGGGTAAAGGTCGGCACACACGAGGGGACTAATCCCTACAACTAGTCCCTGCAACTAGTCCCCTGAAGAGTTTACACGAAGGGACTGGTCGCACGGACTTGTCCCATGTACAGTTCACATGAAGAATTTTGAGGAACAAGTCGCAGAGACTTGTCCCAAAAATTCAAACTGGTTTGAAGTCGTGGGACCAGTCGCAGGGACCAAAGTTGGTCCCCGCGACTAGATTTTGAATAAAAAATGGCCAGTTCACACGATGGGACTTGTCCCCGTGACTTGTTGCAGGGACTAGTCCCCTGGTGTGCGC